ATGTTTTCGGGGGTGTGTCCCCCTTCGGCACCCGACTCCATGCGCCAGTTGGGCCAGTAGCATATGACCTTTTGTTTGGCCAGGCATGACAGCACCTGTAGCCCTACCACCGTTACCAGTAATAAAAATTTCATTATTATATAATATGTGTTTTAGTGATTTATTAATGAAGTAGGAGTTTATTAGTTGTTTAAATACTAAATCTCGCTTGTTTAATCAGATTATGTATGGGTAAATAGTAAGTTATAGGAGTTACCAAGGTCTACATAAAAGTATTTCTTAAATAATTATAGTTAGAATATTTTATTTGTTTAAAATTATTAGCCCATTAATAAGTAAATATAATATAATTTTTATTATTGCTTAATAACACAAAATTTAAAAATAATTATAAAATATTTATTATATAAATAGATAAAATATTCCACAAACCTAAATCAATATTAGTTTCATATACTATCCATTGAAATCAACTAGATAAATATTGAATTTTGCTACCTTTATCAAAATTGTTTTTAATATAAAAGCATCTGCGTCAGTTGTGAAAAACACTTTCTGATATGTTTAGGAAAAACATTGTTTATCTCATTATTTGTGTAGACATAGTGTGAGCGAAAATAATTGAAAGTGCTAATCAACTATATTACAAAAATAATTTATTAAAAACCAACTATACAGTTTTATCAATAATAATTTATTATATAAACAATAGGATGTAGAAGCTCTAGTTATCACACGGTGCAAAGTATCAAACAATAAAGAGTTATCCTTGGTACAATTTCTAAATATCCCTTAGAAACTACTGTTTCTAGCAAAACTGTAAACATTATTTAATCAAAAAATTTAAGTAAATTAATATAATATTGAGGTTGCTTATTGGACTAGAAACACTTGAACACCTAATATACAAAAAACTAATATTTTACTCATTTTAATAATAATTAACTCATAGTAAATATATTTAATAATAATTTTATTATATTTTGCAGCATTATAGCAAAAATTTAATTTTACATTATTTCTTAACTTTACATTAATGTTACCCTATTTAATGAGTTTATTAATCAAATGTTTGCATTTATTTATGTTCGCAGCCATAAGTCTCGGGTCCGCTACCGGTGCCGTACAAGCCGTGGTTAATGGCCCTCAACATGGGGTAGCTCTTAGAGCAGCATTGGGGTTTGAAATCGTCCTGGGTGATCTCCCATACGATTATACCTCCATAGCCGTTTTCTTTAACCCATGTACTTTTACTGTAATATAACAATAATATGAAATTTAAAACCTTTTCAAGTGTTTAGAAAACAGACTTTGGATCGCTATAACAATAACCTAAAATAAATAATCATTGTCAATTACAAAGGCAATCAATTAATAAGCTAATGAATTCATTAAATTTTAAAAAATGCTAAAATTACTCAATTTACTAAAAACTGTATTCATATTTTCTAAAAATATTTGTAATATGTTATTGTATGTATAACATTATAGCTGGTTTACATACGGGAGTTGGTATTTTTATTTTATCAAGCTAATAAAATACATACTCATAAGCGGCGTATGGATCATCATAACCGACCCAGGTGACATCGTGATAGGAAATTGGATCGTGCCCTTGGTCAGGGTCCTCCTTAGCCCAGCCCTTATTCTTAACCAAATCACACATCTCTGAATACCACGCATTATCTCCCTCTCCATGAGGTGTCTTTCCCTCGCCGGCAATGGGAGCACCGATACCATGCTTATTCTTGTCCTGCAGTTTGAATGTATGTCCATAGAAGGGCACTCCCATCAGCACCTTCTCTTTGGGGATACCTTTGTTCACATAGTATTGTGAG